AAAAAAGTTAAACATTAGATTTACTGTATGATCTAGCAATTTCACTTCTTGGTATATAGTCAAACAAATTACAAAGAAGATACTCAAACAAATGCATGTATACACATGCTCATAGTAGCACTATTCACATAATTCAGGTAGAATACTCAGTTGGTGTCCTCAGAAAAGTTCTGTGTCAGAAAAGTGGGGCAAAATTAGCCTAATAAATGTTGCTTTGGGCCCACCTGACGAAGCTTAAGAACAAACCTAAAAGAATCAGGCTGGATCTAAGTAACTTACTCATATCCCAGAACAAAGGTCAAGAATATTTATGGGCATAGAAAAATGGGTAGTAATTTTTCACTACATTCTCGGTATTATGATTGATGTAACATAGAGACTGGGTTTTCAAGTCTTTTGCTACAGAGTGTTAAATTTTATTTTAGCAGGCTGTTAAATTTCTGATGGGTCACCTTGGCCTTGCTGAAGCTTGGTTTGAGTCTTCGTTAAGGCGGGTCTATTTTGGCCTTTCCCTGAATCCTACAATGTTTTGATCACTCCTGGAGCATGGTCCTCACCCCTAAAACAGTCTTCCTGGGGTCTCCATTGAATGCCCTGTGTTTCTCCACTCTAGCTGAGTCAGAACTCCAATACTGGGTCCTCCAGTATTCTGAAGTCTCAGAAATCTCTAACTCTCAGCCCTCAGCAGCTATTTCTGACCAGGCCTTGTGGATGATCACCCTGGGGATAGGCAGCTTAGCAGAGCGGTTGTCTGGGTCCCTGAAGGGAACCACTTTACAGATTTCTGGGATCCCTTTCTATAGTTTTCTCTGCTCCATACCCTTGAGTTTCCACCACCTTTGCAGCTCTGAACTCTGGTCAGTTTCCTCCACAAAACCCCTGCTTTTCTACCCAATGCAACTGCCCCTCTGTGCTTGCACCTACCCTAGCTGAAGCTTGGAAACACTCTCCTTGGAAGAAAGCTGGGATGAATATGGGGTTTGCCTCTTGTGCTACCCTTGTCTCTCAGGAGAGCAGTTAAGCACTTGCCCGAGGCCTGAAATCACTTGCTTCATATCTTTGTTTGCTTTTATAGTTACTTACAGTGGGAAGTTAAGGCTGATAACAGCTACTGAGTCATGGCTGGAACTAGAAAATCCATGATGTATTTTTATTTGTTCATTTTTAGCGAGGTAAAGGTCACATTAATATTTTAAAGTGAACAATCCCAGACTTCCCTGGTGGTCCCGTGGTTCAGAATCCGCCCTCCAGCACAGATGATGCAGGTTTGATCCCTGGTCTGGGAACTAAGATCCCACATGTGGAGGGACCACTAAGCCTGCTTGCTGCAGCTACAGAGCCCACACATCACAACTCAACAAAAGCCCACACAGCGCAATCAAAGATGCTCGATGAGAGGTCCCACATGCTGCAACCGAGACCCAACACAGACAAAAATAAATAAATACTTAAATAAAGTGAGCAATTCATTTTGACTCTAGTTTATAGTAGTAAATTCAGTGACCTAGAAGAAATTGAAAACTTTCTAAGACCGACTCAAGAAGGAGTGAAAAATATGAATCACCCAATATTTGTTAAAGAAATTAAATTGCTCATTTAAAACTTACCCACAAAGAAAGCTCTAGGCCCAAGCTTAACTAGTGGATTTTATTAAAAACTTTTTAAAAGAAAATGCCAATTTTATACAAATGTTTTCAGAGAACAAAGGAAGGAGGACAATTCCAAATCAGCATAACCCTAATATCAAAATCTGACAAAGGCATTACAGAAAAAGAAAATGTTAAGCCCAAATCACTTATGAATATAGACCTTAACATCCTAAACAAGATATTAGCAAATTAAATTCACCAATTCATTAAAAAAAAAAATCATGGCTAAATGCCATTTATCCAGGAATGCAAGGCTAGTTTAATATTTAAAAACCAATGAATGCAATTCACAGTATTAATAGAATGGAGGAAAGCAACCATATGAACACCTCAATAGACTGAAGAAAAACATATAACAAAATTCAAACTAATTCATTTTTTTAAAAAGAGAGAGAAAACCCTCAGCAAACAAGGGATAACATGAAACTTCCTCAATCTAATAAAAATTATCCATGAAAATCTATAGTTAACATCATACTAGTGGGGAAAGACTGAACACCCTCCCTTAAGATTCGTAAAAACACAAGGATTCTTACCACAGCTTTTCAACGTACTTTCCGGGATCTTTTCCAAGTAATAAGGCAATAAAAATAAATAAAATATATAAAATTGAAATTGAAGACTAAAACTACTTGCAGATAATTAATATGATTTAATGCATGGAAAATCCAAAGGAATCTGTTAAACCACTACTATAACTAATGGGATAATTTACATAATAAAAAGGTGATGTGAAAAAATCAATTGCATTTCTATTCACAATAACTCACAGGAAAAAAAGTTTTTAAATAACTTTTACAAGAATACCAAAAATGTTGTACACTTACGGAAAATTTTAACAAAACAGGGCATACTATAAAGCTTCTAGGAAAACTTTCTTAAACAGAAAATATATTTATGATCTTGGAATAAGCAAAAATTTCTTAAGACAAAAAAGGCACCAGCCATAAAAGAAACATAAAAAATTGTACTTCATATAAGTTAAAAACTTCTGTTCTTCAGCATACATAATTTAAAAAGTCAATAGACAGCCACAGACTAGAAAAAAATACTTGCAATGCATATAGTTGACAAACGACTCATATACAGAATATGTAAAACTCCTAAAAATTAAAAACAAGAGTGCAATAAAAAAGAACAAAAGACTTAAAGTATTTTAAAAAACTGGATATCTAGTTTTTGATACCTACTACTCATGAGAAAAGCTGCTCCTGATCACTTGTCAACAGGGATATACAAAATTAAAACCACAGTGAGATAGACCATTATACACACTTAAATGGATATGGTTTAAACCAATGAAATCACCTAGTGTTGGCAAGATTATGGAGCAACTGGAACTCATTTATTTCTGGTTAGAATATGAAATGAAACTACCACCTTGAACAACTGTTTGGCACTTTATAATAAAGTTAAATGTACATTTATCATAAAATACAGAAATTCAGGTTGGTCACACAACTTTATACAGATTGGCCCCAAAATGGAAAAACCCAAATGTTCATCTATAGGGAATAAAAAACTGTGATATAGAGACAAACAGCAGAATAATATTCAGCAAGTCTGCCCAGGTTGCCATAACCACAGACTAGATAACTTAAACAACAGACATTTATTTCTTACAGTTCTGGAGCCTGGGAAGTCCAAGATCAAGGTGCTGGTCAAACAGTTTTCTGAGACCTCTTCTCTTGGCTAGAAGGTGGCCAACATCTTGCTGTGTGTTCACTGGGCCTTTGCCTTGTGCTTCTTCTTATAAGGACACTAATCCTATTGGATCAAGGCCCCACCCTTATGACCTCACTTAACCTAATTATTTCCTTAAAGACCACATCTCCAAATATGGCCACACTGAGGTTTAAAGCTTCAAAATATGAATTTGGGGGGAACACAAACATTCAGTGTACAACACCAACAACAAGGAAACTACTATTTCTTGAAATAGCGGTATAGTTGAAAATTTAAAAGACTGTAATTCCAAAAATATGAAGTTTAAGAAGAGACAAAATGAATCTATGGTGTCAGCAGTTGCCTCTGTACCGGTGAGGAGGAATTGATGGAAAAGTGACATGTGGGAAATTTTTCAAATGACGGAAATATTTGTTTTTGATGTGTGGGATGATGACAAATGAATACATTTGCCAAAATGCATAGAGCTGTATCATATTTCCCCGAATTAGTACATTTATTGTATGTAAATTGTAGCTCACTAGAGTACATTTCTCTATATCAGCTCATAAGAATTTACATCTGTATAGCAACTATATAGTCTTCTATGTATGAATGGATCATAGTTTATTAAACTATTTCTCCATTGGTATATATTTATACTTCTTACAAGTTTTTGCTATTATCAGTAATGCTGTAGTGAACATACTTAAAGGATAGACTTCTAATTGGGATTGTTATAGCATTTTCTCTGTAAAGATGAAGAATCTGAAGCTCAGAGGCAAGAAGGGACTTTTCCAAGGTCTCCTATAATTACACACCATGAATTATGGTGGTAGAAATTGGAACTGAAGATGTCTGTGTTACTCCACAGAAATACTGATGGGGGGCAGGAAGAAAATGCTAGGCTTCCAACCAGAATAAAATAAACCATTTAGACTAATATTCCACTTCCTTCTTTGTCTAGCTCCTACTCATCCTGTGGATAAATGATGCTTTTGGGCTACCTAATTAACATTATGCTACATTAATTCCTGGAATCCCATAGTACCCTGGACTTAACTCACTATGTGCCAAGTAATGTGTTAGCACTTTAAATGTATTATTGCCTTTAACTGTCACAGCTTGTAAGGCACAGCTGTTATGAATTCCATGCCCATTTTATAGATGGGGAAAACTGAGGCTTAAACAGTTTTAGTAAATTGCCCAAAAAAGTGGTATAAACAGGTTTTAAAACCAGGTCTCTGATATAGAAGGAACTCTTACTGTTATACTGTACTTCTCTGGAACAGTACTTCACAGGATGCTGTTGTAAAGGTTACACGAAATGGTTGCAGTGTTGATTACTGGGCTCTCAACAACTTGAAGGCCTTTATGCATCTTTATCTCTGTCCTCCTAACATCTGGCACATAGCGGAGTTCAAAGGGCTTAGTACCATGCCTGACACAGAGCAAGCACTCCATGAGCGCTAATTATTATCATTATTGGAATCCAATAAACATTTGTTGGGTAAGTAAACATTTGCATGAATGACTAATTATCCCAAGTATTCTTTCCACAAATAAACAATGTGGAGAGGGACAACAGGTTGCAGGCCTCTGCTCCTGCCAAGCATCTCATTTGGAAGCAGCTGAACCGTGAAGGAGTCACCAGCCCCCTGTGTTCACACGTCTGCTCCCCCGCAGGCCCGGAAGGGGCCCCGGCCTCGCGGAACAGACGCGCCACAGATTTGCGTGTGAAGGTTCTGTTGCTGCTTCTTCGTTACGGGAAGGCCCCGCGGAACCAAGTCACAGGTTAAGGCTGGGGAAGAGCCTGCTCGATGGCTGAGTGCTCCTTCTCCTGACCTACACGACCTTGCGTGCCGGCTGGCGTTTGGCGCCTCAGTCAGTTTCTTAGCTGGCCTTGACATCCGCCCAAACCTCACCCTGGGCCCCTCTCTATCAGCCTGGACCCGCTGCCCCATGCCTTACGGCTTGATTGGCTTCCATCCTCGGCAGGGAGACCCCGTGCCCTTCCCAGCCTAGCTGCCTTGCCAAGGGAAGGTCTCCTCGCAGGCTTGAGATTTGATCCTTTGGCTGCTCTGTCCGACTGGCTGACCCTGCCCACGTCTTGGCAGGGGTGAGGAGCAGGGGGCAGTGTGCTCCAGGATTGTGGGGATCTGAGGTTGCACCCGAAGCTCTTGCCAAGACCACAGTTTTCTTTGTCTTACCTGGGTCCTGTCTCACCACGCTACCGCGGTCTTCATTTTATGCCTCTAAGAGCACTCACTCCCCTTTTGTCATGAAGTTTTCAGAGCCTTGCTCAATGAAGGCAGTTTCATATTTATGTTTTAGGATAATCCTTCAAGTCTTAAGTGAACATTTCTTGTTTGAAATGTCTGTCACTCTGTTATTATAGAAACAACGTAACCAGAAACACATTTTCACATAAGACTCTAAGTGAAAAGACAAATGGTTCTCGAGCTTAAATATCCTCGCATGATTTGAAAACATCAAGACAAAGATATGGGAGAAAAAAGTTCAACAGATGAGAAGTAGGGAGGAGGGATCAAAACAGGATCCAAGCATTAGGCGTTTCTGAAAAAAGGCAGTATCGTATAGTATTGCTTATAAGTGGAATCTAGACAAACTGCAGATGAACTTACTTGCGAAGCAGAAAAAAAGATATAGATATAGAGAACAGACTGATTCACTTCACTATACAGCAGAAACTGACAGAAGATTATAAAGCAACTGTACTCCAAGAAAAATTTTTTTAAAAAGAGGAGGAAAACACAGAGGGGAGGAAATTGTCAAAGAAATAACACAGGAAAATGTCTCAGAGCCAAAGGACACAAGGCCTCAGAACAGTGAGTGAAGCAGGCTCACACCTGTTCACAGGGAACATCACTGAGCAAGAAGTTGGCCAAAATAAGGACAGCGGCTTAAAAGCTTCCACTGATGGCGAGGTCCCTGTGAAGTGACTCAATGAAAATGAATCATGGATTTCAAAAGGAAAATCTATATACCAATAGAGCGGTGCCTTCAAAATTTTAAGGGAATTAGATTTACAACCTATGAGTCAATACTCAGCCAGATCATCAATCATCCAAAGGCAAACTAAGTAATTTCCAAATATAAAATTATTCTATATTTTATATCCCACCATACACCTCTGCATAGGATGTTGCTTACTGGTATGCTCTGGCAAAATTAGGGAAGAGACTCAAGACTGTAACCCACATCTACGGAAGTGCGGGTTGAGCCCAAGAAGCCAGGGAATGGAAGTTTCTGGATGGTTACTGTCCAGACCGAAGCGCAGGAACACAGAGGGCTTGAGAAGGTAGATCCTCGGGGAAGGGGAATCTCCACAGAATGCCTACTGGGAAGGAAAGTTAGGGAGAAATTGAGAAGATGATGAAGCCAACTAATGCTAGAAAAAAAAAGAAAAGAAAAGCTATTTGAAACTCCTGATCAAAGAAAAGTATTGCAAGAAAGTAAACATAAGCAGGAATGTCACTGGCCAGGCAAAGAGCCATATACATACGTATATAAATCTCAGTCAAGTAAACATTACTTATTAGTTTTTTTTTAACTTTTAAAAATATTTATTTATACATATTTGTCTGCACCAAGTCCTAGTGTAGCGCTTAGGATCTTCAACCTTCGTTGAAACCTGCAGAATCTTTTTAGTTGTGGCATTCGAGATCTTTAGTTGCAGCATGTGGGGTCTAGTTCCCTGACCAGGGATCAAACCTGGGCACCCTGCATTGGGAGTGTGGAGTCTTAGCCACTGGACCACCAGGGAAGCCCCTGTTTATTAGTTTTAGAATCAGTCTCTAAGCAAAGCATGGAAGGTTTCATTGCAGTTACAATGGGAATGCTAGGGATGGAGACGATGTAAAAGTACGTAGGATGGAAACAGGGAGAAGAGGAAGGAGAAGGGAGGAGGGGAGGCTGCAGGGTGAGTGGCCGCTTCTTGGGAAGCGTGGAGGGGGAGCATCATCAGAGCTAAGGGAGGGTGAACTAGGCGGGTGTAGTGTGTTTCCCAAAGTGACCACTGTAGCCAAGACAGTGATATAATGGTGTTGGGAAAATGAGACAAAAGGAGAGGCAGGCGGGGTGTGAGTGAGGTAAACCCTTTGGCAATGGTAGAAAGTCAATGAATATGTTGTTAAAACATGAAATAGAGGGCAGCAGTGTTTGCATAAGGATGTGCAGATAACATTTGAAGAAACAGCTCAACAGGTGAGAGGTGATTGCTCTGGGGATTGGAATGGAAGACTCTGACTAAAAAGAAAAAAAAATTTGAAAAGCACAGTTATGCCCCCATGTTGTCATTTTGAAGGTGTGTAAGTGCGTGATGAGTAAGTTTGAGATTTCTCAAAGGCAGCTAGTGGCTGGAACGGGCAGGCCACCGCCTCGGTGGCCATTGGCTATGTGTTCCCTGGTGCGGGGCCCTCCTCCCCTGCAGCGCTGGACACACAGGCCGCGTGGAGTTGAGGGGCAGTGGGGATGCCCACTTGTGTCTGGCAAGGTCCAGTGGGTCCAGTTCTTCCACCTCTAGCATCTCATTTCATCCTCCCAGTGACCCTGTGAGCTGGGAATGGAGGGTCGGGGATGGGAGGGTGAGGAATTTCTACAGCAGCAGCTCCAGGAGCAGACTGGTGCAACTCTCATTGAGGGTGTGGGTGGGGAAGGGCAGGTAAGGCCAGGGAGCAGGGTAGACAGGGCAGGGCTTGAATCTCCAGGATCCAACAATGCCAGAAGGTGTGAGGGCCAGAATTCAGATGCAGGCTGTCCCCAGATGACCCCCAGCCACACCTAGGTTTTAAAATTATATTCTTACTGTGAAAACATGTTGTGAAAACATGACGATGACTTTCCAAGAATGTTTCAATTGCCTGTAATCCTCCCCAGGCCTGTGCACAATAATTGCTTACATCTTTTCTGTGATCCCTTCTGGTCTTTGTCTACATTATGCATAATTGGGCATAGTTCTGATCCTCCTGTCCGTATAACTGTGTAAGCACTCTGCCTCTCATAAATGGTGTTCCTTGTTTCTACATAGTGTGCATAATTATCCATGTTAATAGCTGCATATTATGCAGGATCATTTTTAATTAACAACAGCACCCTGGGTTAACAGTTCATCATTCTGCCAAGTATTACTTTATTTCCTAATCTCTGTTTTGTATAACGCTGTTCCTTTTTGAGAACTCTTTCTTAACAACCTCAATGTGTGTAACAGGGGCAGATGTTATTGTCCTGGCTTTATATATGGGGAAACTGAGCTCTAGAGAGACAAAGATGCCCAAAGTCGTACTGAAAGCAGGGTTGGGCTGAGAGGAAAGCTTCTTCTGAGTCTTTTCAAGTCAGAGCTCTTTTTGCCACACTGCCCTGATGCTAGGTGTTGGTCAGTTCATTCTCTTGTTGAGCCAGGGCCCTTCCACCTCACTGTATAGGTGAGCCAGCTGGCGCCCAGCGAGAGAGGTGACCTGCCTAAGGTCACACTGCAAAGCCAGGAATCAAAGCCAGGCAGGCTGACTCCAAAGGCAGATCGCTCTCAGGTAATTTACCTTCTGTGTGACTGCCTTTCAGCTACTTCATGAAAAGTTGCTCTGAGCACTGATATAGAAATGGCTGTTTGAGTCTCTGCTTTCAATTATTTTGAAAGAGCTAGGGGAGCTTTTAAAAACAAATCAAAACTTAGGCTCTTTGTTTCTAGATTTTCTGGGGGTAGGGGTCAAGGAGAGAGAGGTAAGTACTATGTCAGAGTGCATGGGTGAGTGAAAATATTTGCAAATCACATATCTGATTAAGGGACTTGTATCCAGAATATATGAAGAACTCTCACAACTCAGTACTAAAAGACAAAAGACCCAACTTAAAGATAACAAAGGATGCGAATAGAAATTTCTCCAAGAAAAATATACAAATGGCCAGAAAGCACATGAAAAGATGCTCTAATCATCAGTCATCAGGGAAATGCAAAACTAATTCACAGTGAGATACCACTTCACACCCACTAGGATAGCTAGAATCAAAAAGTCAGATAAAAACAAGTGTCGCTGAGGATGGTAGAGAAATCAGAATCCTCAGACACTGCTGGTGGGAATGTGAAATGGTGCAGCCACTTTGAAAAACAGTCTGGCAGTTTCTCAAAACAGTTAAACATAGCATTACCATATGACCCAGCAATTCCTCTCCTAGGTAAATACCCAAAATTGAAAACGTGTTCAAACAAAAACGTACAGAAGTGTTTACAGTAGCCAAAAGGGGTGGAAACTATCCAAATATTCATCAGCTGATGAAAGGATAAACAAGATAATAATAATATACATTAGTATACCAGCCATATTCATACTTGCCCAAACTTGGAAGCTATCAAGTTATCCTTCAGTAACTGAATGGATAAATAAAGTGTGGTACATCCATACAGTGGAATATTAGTCAGCCATAAGAATGAATGACCTATCAAGTCATGAAAAGACATGTTCCTAAATGAAAGAGGAACGTGCTGAAAAGGTTACGTGCTCTTTAATTCCAGCTTTGTGGCACTCTGGAAAAGACAAGACTATGGAGACGGTAAAAAGATCAGTGGTTGCCTGGGGTTAAGGGGAGGGAGGAATGAATAAGTAGAACTCCGAGCATTTTTAGGGCAGTGAACCTATTCATATGACTATACAAAAAGAAGGTGGATACATGTCATTATCCATCTGTCAAAACCGTGACCATGAGGTGTCAATACCAGTTCATCGGTTATAGTAAATACATTGAATGAAGGAAAAGCTTTTATATTTGACAGTGAATGT